TACATGGATGGGACAATACAATACATTTCTCATCTTTGCGGCAGGCGTTGAAAGCACTCCTAGTAGACACGATCATACATTAATTACTACGTTTCAAAACAGAAAACAGTTACTGCACATACATGTATTGCAAATAAATTAGGTAAATCTAAGACTTGCCCATATTGAAGAATAGCTGTTGAGGATAGGAATGGCTGTCTTGCTGTCTCGTGTGTGTGTCATAAGGCATGGCCTGGCTGAGTACACGCACACACTGCATGCATTGATTACATGTGCACACACACACAGTGCTAGTGTAGCCCAGAGAGATGCCAGCTGTGCATGTAGCCGTTTAAAAAAGGCGGCAGTCGCATTTTGGGGTTTTGGGGCTTGTATAGTCTTGATCAATATTGCAGACCTTACAGGGCATATGTCAAGATGTACGTTGCACAATCTGTAAAATAAAACTATTAATATAATGACTAATGACATTTTAGAGTTTTTCATCCCTGTTTTGGGGTTTTTAAATAAATATAGTCAGACTGATTCAGAGGCGGCGCTAGATCTTACTGATTTATATTTGTTTCAACTGGTTTTCAAATCCATTGACATGGGCTCGATCTGCTGGTTTGTACAGGTTTCTAATGGTAATTGACTTAAGATTTTTACACCCATGTTCAAACCATTAGAATCTACTGGTTTCTATCGGATTCTAGTGGTCTTCAAAACCGTTAGGCTCTACTGGTTTTGTAAAGGTGTCTAATGGTTTGACTTAAAATTTGTGCATCCATGTTCAAACCATTAGATCTTACTGGTTTTTATTGGTTTCTACTGGTCTTCAAACCATTACAGTCTACTGGTTTGTTAAGGTTTCTAATGGTTTGACTTAGGGTTTTTACACCCATGTTAAAACCATTATATTCTTCTGGTTTCTATCGGATTCTAGTGGTCTTCAAAACCATTAGGCTCTACTGGTTTTGTAAAGGTGTCTAATGGTTTGACTTAGGATTTTTACACCCATGTTAAAACCATTAGATTCTTCTGGTTTCTATCGGATTCTAGTGGTCTTCAAAACCATTAGGCTCTACTGGTTTGTTAAGGTTACTAATGGTTTGACTTAGGATTTTTACACCTATGTTAAAACCATTAGATTCTTCTGGTTTCTATCGGATTCTAGTGGTCTTCAAAACCATTAGGCTCTACTTGTTTTGTAAAGGTGTCTAATGGTTTGACTTATAGATTTGTGCATCCATGTTCAAACCATTAGATCTTACTGGTTTCTATTGGTTTCTTCTGGTCTTCAAACCATTAGGCTCTACTGGTTTTGTAAAGGTGTCTAATGGTTTGACTTATAGATTTGTGCATCCATGTTCAAACCATTACATCTTACTGGTTTCTATTGGTTTCTTCTGGTCTTCAAACCATTAGGCTCTACTGGTTTGTTAAGGTTTCTAATGGTTTGACTTAGGATTTTTACACCCATGTTAAAACCATTAGATTCTTCTGGTTTCTATCGGATTCTAGTGGTCTTCAAAACCATTAGGCTCTACTGGTTTTGTAAAGGTGTCTAATGGTTTGACTTATAGATTTGTGCATCCATGTTCAAACCATTACATCTTACTGGTTTCTATTGGTTTCTTCTGGTCTTCAAACCATTAGGCTCTACTGGTTTGTTAAGGTTTCTAATGGTTTGACTTAGGACTTTTACACCCATGTTAAAACCATTAGATCCTACTGGTTTCTATCAGATTCTAGTGGTCTCCAAAACCATTAGGCTCTACTGGTTTGTAAAGGTGTTTAATGGTTTGACTTAAGATTGGTGCATCCATGTTCAAACCATTAGATCTTACTGGTTTCTACTGGTCTTTAAACCATGACAGTCTACTGGTTTGTAAAGGTTTATACTGGTTTTACTTCACAGTTCCTCCTGATCACCATTAGACTCTAATGGTTTCTTGAAAACCAGTAAAACCATTAGAATGTCTCTACTGGTTTCTACTGGTTTCTAAAGGAATTTCGACCTGGGTGAGAAGGAAATAAATGTTAATAAATACAAATACAAATACAAAATTCATATTCTTAACGGATATAGGTGTGTTATACACAGTTTTCAGATTGAGGAAATGCTACCTGAGCCACTTGGTTTGCTTCATGCAAAAATGTCTGAATTTAATTTTTAAGGTTAGAAAGAATGCAAAAACCCCAGCGGCAGTCCCAGACATCAAATAAAAAGTGCACATTTATCAATCTATACTCTCCTGAAAAAGCTCCAAACGTTTGGTAACTATTATTGCCGGTCTCATTCATATGGAAGTTCATCAATACCAGATATACTTTTCAATCACGGTAGCTGTGCTTTGTGCCTGTTAGTTTGGCAAATAGAATATATTGTTATGAAAAATGCACATATCTCTTTCTCCATGTCACTGTGCTAGCTATCCCCCGTATCAATGAAATTCGTTATAAAGGTATTTCACGGGTGATTTGTTTGGAAATATGCGTTTTATGTCAGATTTATTCCTTTTTAAATGGCAATGGAGGGGGGTTCCTATAGTAGGTTGATCATTAGCATTATGGAATGATTTATTGTGAGCCTGGAGTGCCTGGGAGGTACTATTAATACATGGCTAGTGATTTCATTTTGGTATACATGTAGCCGCGACAGTTCATTACCTTATGAATGTGCAATGTACTTGTATCACCCCTGGACATAATTGCTGCAATCTTGTCCAAAACATGTTTGACAATGTGAAAAGAAGATCTTACATGAGATATCATTATCATACTATTTTAGAGAAAAACTCTGGTATTAATACGAAACACAATTCTGCTTTGATCCTTGTAGATTATAGTCTAGTGTAATTATTTGTGCTGTGAAAGCCCACCCCCCCCCCCCTCCCCGACCCTCCCCGACCCTCCCCCCCCCCCAAAAAAAAAAAAAAAAAAAAATCTCAAGGTTTTCAAATTTCTAATGGAGCATTAATTTAAGAGCAAAAATGTTTCACTGCATGTGTATTTTTAACTTGAGACAGGCCTTCATATACTTTTTGCTCGACCCCCTCCCCAAACCAACAAAAACTTGCATGTACATATTTAATGTAGCTGCTATAATTTTAATGAATATATAATCTTGTTTAAAAAGTACTTAATCGTTATGTAGTGCAGACAGGTTTACACTTTATAAACTACTTAAACTACTTCAATGAATAGACAAGTTCAACTGTTACCTAATCATCTTTATTAGATTTTTTGTAATCATATCATATTCCTAATTAACATTACATTTCAGAGATAAGCCATTTATACAATACATACAGCAGTTATGATATTTGACAACATAGTCAATATGAATGTGATCTGTAGAGGGCAGCAAACAGCATTATTGTATATCATGAACATACTGATAGTCTATTCAATGCAACATACAAGTTTGGACAAGTGGTAATTCGATTTGAATTTCAGTCACCATAGAAGAGAACTTTAAAGGACAGAAATAAAGCAAATGAAATGCAGTCTTTGATTCATCTGACCTAATATTCTTGAGAAAGTTGAGATGATGGTTTTCTTTCTCCTCTTTCACAGTATATTTACGATTTAAAAGATAAACTGTTTCCTCTTTCACTGTATATTTATGATTTAAAAGATAAACTGTTTCCTCTCTTTACTGATTGAAAAGCACTCTATCAAGTACATCAAATGTAAAACAGATCAGATACAGATTTCTTTTAAAGCAGGTGCGCAAACAAATGAAAACAAATGAAAACAAATTAGTATAAAATGTACCGGTATTCAAAATTGTGCCTTTTCCCTATTTATAATCTCCTCCAAGTTGTCCCTTTTTTCCTGCTTCTTCATAAATGTAGATAAGATTGTCTAGCTCTGTCATCATAACTGACTCATAGAATCTGATTTATTGGTCTAAGTTTCAGTTATTACCATAAAAATAGATTCCCTATCTATATCCTTGAACCCCCCCCCCCCCCCAACTGACAGAAATATTTAAAGGTGTGCCACAAATAGATCTTACCCCTTGCTAAGAACAAATTATGGTATGTTTCAGTTATTCTTTTGATCATGATCATAGGGGATAGAGAACAAGTTTATTTGACCCCCTGCTCGCATTTGTTCATAATTCTGGTCGCACAGGTACTATTGCAATAAAAGAACTCAGGTATGCAGTCACAAATACTAGAGAGCAAGAGGTCAAAGATGAACTTATAAATTGATCAATGAATTTTTTTCTCCTTTAAGTGGCCACATTCTGATCCAGTCGTTTAAATTTTAGTTAAAGCTGTTGAAAAGAAACCGGGATGATGCTATACCTCTGAAATGTTTGTCTTATTCCCCCCCCCCCCTTAAAATTCTAATAATAATCTTATTATGTTGTGTGAATGACCGGTGTTGGAAGCTTTTCCAGGTTTCTTGAGAATTTCGTAACTTTGAATGTGAATACAAATAGTTTATCACAAACTGTTCTCCACTATCAAAGCTTTATCAAGTCCTATGGGGTGCTGATAGATCATTTTTGAAGGGGGAGGGGGTGATTAACCAGGAAAATGAAGGTCATCAATTTAGGGGATTTGCAATCAAGAGTAGAACATTCAAAATTTGAAGACAGGATTTTTTTTTGTTAATGGGGGAGGGGGGATGAGAAAGGTGTCCTATCACCAGGAATAATACCCCATACGGCATAAAACATTAGCACACCCCCACCCCCCCCCCTCCCTCTGCCTCTCTTTGATAGCAGGATGGCAATGAAACAGAATTGTTCTATAGCTTCTTTGTGGTCTGTTATTTGAGGTAAACATAGTGTTACCAGTATGCTGTTTGGGGGCCTTCATGTGACAGTTTTTTTTCCAATATCATTTGTGGGATTTCTTTAAGAGCCCTGTTGCATTGTGCATTCACCTCTCTCCTCCTTGTATCATTTTATTTAGAGGTTATCATACTTTCCTTAATCCATATTACTTGTAATTAATTCCCTCATTCAATTATTTATTGATGTCTTTTGTTTTGTACAGAAGGACGGTACCCAATAGACTTGGAGCTAGTGCAGAAAGACCATGATTTTTTGGACCAGGATTTGCTAGATTCAGTAACGAGGTGAGTTAGCTTGAAATCCATTGTCGATATTAGCATATATGACAGATAATCTCGTACTTGAAAGATATCCCTTTCCCTTTGAAATTTTGATAGTTGATTATTGTTTCACCTGACAACTAAGAAAGCATGTATATGGTTAAGTAAGCAACCGGGGGACCGATGGCTTTAAGTCCTCTTTGACGGCCTTGGTAATGAGGATTCCAGTTTTCCAGTGTTTCCAAAACTTATGGTAAATGAAATATGATTATTTTTGTTGCATGAAACTTTTCGCTTATCTCAACCACTTGTGAAAAAATCATGAAAATCTCTGGTTTTTATGGTATGTGAGTCATTGTGTTAATACGGTGTGGTTATAAACAGTTGTTCTTTTATAGCAGTGTTTGTGTGGTTGTAAAGTGTGGTAATAGTATCTACAGTTGAGAGCTAATTAGCATAAATGACAGCAACAGAACACCAACATCCACAAGTTAACAGACTTCCAAGTATCACCCAACAATAACAAAGCTAACCTTTATACTAGCATGTCTATCTGCAGTTTGTCCCAATAACCTTTCACCATAAAGGAAACCTATGTGAATGAAGTAGCAATGTGCCAGTTGTATCACTCGGGGAAACTCAGCCCTTGTCAATTTCAAGGGAAAGAGGTCCTCCTCATAAGATAAGCCCTCCATTTGACACCCTGGTGTCTGTAAACATTGCACCCCTCCAATGCACTTGATCACCTATGCTGACCCTCTTTCCCTATTCCTCTCTTCACTCTTCCCCTCTTCCCCCTTCAGACTACCAAAATTCATTGTATAGTTTACGAAAACCGTATCAATTTTGAAATATACCGTAAGTTTTTTTTTTTTTTTTTGTGGTGTGAATGTCATATAATGAAACGTCATTCATGTATAGCAAAACAGATGTTTGGGCAGTGTTTTGACTTCGGAATGCAGACCCAATTAATTAATCGGGGTTCACTCGTAGTGTGAATGCATAAGCATACACCAAATGTATGAAAACGGAATATCATGAGTGTACTTTGATGATTGACCTCCTTTTAGCTAAGCTGACAATTAACATTTGACAACTGACCTCTTTAAAACAAATTTCATTGTAAGGATAATATTTCATATCTCGTGTCCACACCCATTTGACATTGTGATGATTCTCTATACGCAGTTTCTTTGTACGAGTTTTGTATGAATTTCCTACCGTGTGAACAGGCTGTCTCTCTTCACCCCATGACTTTTGAAGATTCTCACCTGGATTAAGCTTAATCCTTGAGGGGGATAAAAGGAAACCCTAAAGTAATTAGAACGAACCAGGTGAGGAGGGTGTGACGTACGTCTTTGATGACCCCCTTGTTCACCTCAATGTCAGCGCTAGCATCAGGAAGAGTGAATCGGGTCTATATAAAGAAACCAATTATGGAAGTTCTGCAAAATCTTTGGATTAGGTTCATTGACAGAAATGAGGTAGATCGTTTCATCGGATCCTTCTGAGATTGAATCAGATTGAATTTTTATAATGGTGTCATTTCAATTCAACAGGTGAAATCCACAAACATTTTCATGACCATTTTTTGAAATGTGAAACACAGCAAAAAGGAATTTCTCTTCAGACATTTAAAAAAATAACTTGATTACAAATCACTTTGCGTGAAAGATCTCATGTTGTCCTGTCAGGCATTTAGGATAGATTCATTGACAAATATTGAATGAACACGATCGCAAAGACTTTCAAGAAATCAAATCGAGGGCAATTTCTGTATCCTGCTGTCCATGTATATCCCTCAGAAATCATATTCAGATTATATAATATCTTGGCCCTGTTTCACCAAATTTGTTATTGATAACAAGTTACAATAACTGTTACAAGCTACAGAAATAGTGGCATTTGATTGGCTGAGAGCAGATTTGTCATTGAAATTTATCATTTTTTGTTGATAACAAGTTTGATGAAACAGGGTCCTGGTCATTCAGTAGGTGATGGACAAGGCTAGTGAAATTGCCGAAAAAGTTTGAGTATATATATAGTCTAAGCATGAAGCGACTGATATTAGGAGGTCAATGCATGTTTGGGGGAATGACCACTGACCAGTGATGCATTGGACATAATCACCTCATTATCTCAAGCCACTTTAACCGATCAAAAGAAAGAACCATGAGCCTTTAGTTTACACTGTACAGGTGTATTCTTGCTCCACAAAACATTCACAAAAGAGCATCGTCATCACCATTATTCTTCAGAGTCCCTCAATTCTCCAGTGTTTTTGTTATCCTCTATTGACTCTTAAATGGGTGCCAATAGCATTTCCATTGAGATAGTAAGCCAGGAGGACAACGGGTGATTATATAGATCCTTTCATGAAAAGAATGGAGCAAAAAGGAAATCAATAGAACAAAGTAAGGATTGGGTGATTTGTCCCTATTGTACGGGGCCTATTTTAAGAAACGAGAGATAAACATAACCCCATGACCACACTTAGATTTTAATAATTAATTAGTTTTCAATCTATTTTCTGTGTATTTTGTGGTAGGATGCTATCTAACTTATATAGAAATGAACAACGAGCAGGTACCATTCGAATTGCATTTCAATTCCAATTCAATTCAATTTTATTTTGTCCAATAATGACATGGAAATTGTGGGATTTTACATTCAAAATCGGTGAAAAATATGACATCGACACAATGCAAAAATATACATGGTAAAAAGGCCTTAATATTGTCAGCTTAACGTGAGTACACAGTACCCCGGTCCCTGCACACCCCTATAGGATGTACTTTTTAGCTGAAAATAAAAGTGCATTGATACAGCAATATATAGAAATTCATCATATTGATAAAATCAATTGTTACTTTTTGAACAGAAGTGGTTCTTATCTGGTTCCTGTATGTTTTGGTAAGGTACCGGTAGTCATTTCCCGTATTTGTCATTTAAATGGTGTCATCCAAGGCCAAACTATCTTGTTTTCTTTTGAAAATCTAGATGCTAACATAGATCATGAGTAAGATCATGGCACTTTTGTTGTTTAGCCTATGATACAATAACTGTAACCATGGTTACAGTGAACGGATGTTTGTCCTCTTTTAAGAGGTCTGCACATTAGACTACCAGCATCAGATGAACAGACTCCCACTCGTTGTTTGTTGTTTTTGTTTTATTTTTATTTTGTTGAACTCTCAAATGAAGTACTTGCGTGGGATGCAGTGCCACTGCCACCACAGTGCTGTTTTATTATCAGCAATTTATGAGAACTGGAAAAGTATCCATCGAATGCCTTCTCCTCGAGTCGAGATAGGGCCGAAGCATCGCCCACCAGATATTGACAAGAATTCATGTCCACGGCGGGGGCAGCAACATCGTAAAATTATCAGAAAATAATGAGGGCTGAATGCAGTAAAAGGTGCAATTAAAATAGAAATGACATTTAGTCAAATGTCAAATGTGAAAATGTGAAAATGTTCAAGGATCTTGATCAGTTAATTTGCCCACATAAGAGACAAGAGTCATTCTGATTACGGTAGGTTTGGAGGTACTACAGTCACTAATTTGTGAGGTACAGTGGTCTCACCGGAAAACAAACTAATTTCCTTTTCTTTTGTCTTTCTAAACTAGATTTCCCTCAATCATTTTTATGTTATTCAGCTACCTGTATACATATACCTATGATGAAGAGAAAATTGTACTGAGACCATACTGAAAATTGTAAGATGAGAAAAAACGACCACATATCTACTTCCTCACATCTACTTCGTACATCTACTTCGTGAGGAAGAAAAAGAACTTTTCCCTCAATTAACCTTGTACACAAAGACCCATTAACCAACCTTTCCAGCGAACAAGTCCATTTGACTGCCAAAAATAAAGATTAGTTCTTCTTTTCTAAGAATAGCATGCAATATGACATCACTCAGTAGGTCTTTCCTCTTCATCCAAAAACAAACCTCAAATCCCTGAATGCTGAATCATCAAACTCATCAATTCCAGTCATTTTGTCCAAAAACCATGAATGGAAACCATGGAGGACCCCACGTAGAGTATAAATTACTGCCCACTCGACCACAAAAGCCAACAGACTTCCAAAGTTTGGAACCCTCAAGTTTCGGCATTTTATTAGGTTTTTAATAGCTTTTGTTAGCAGTTATCTTGAAATTTTCTGGCTGGAAAGAGATTTCAGCCTTTGTTACAAACAGGTGGCTTTGTTATAAGCCTGATTGTTCACTTGTTCTCTGCTTATTCATCTGATGTTTTGTAAATGTGTATGTTTGTTTGTTTGCTTGTTTATCTTTGCTACTTGGTTGATTGAGCAAATTGGTAATGGCTAAGGACCTTTAAAGATAACTTGACAAAAGGTTGTAAGGAGAAAAGGGGATGATGAGTAGATTAATAATGAATCACACTTAAACTTAAGGTTTGCCTTTAAAATAGGCTTTTACTGAAACAGGCCATCCTTTAAAAATGCTTGAAGGTGAATGGCCTCTTTCAAGAAAAAAAGAAAAGAAAAAAGAAATCTCATTGCTGGCAGCACAAGCAAATGCCAATCATCGGAGTGGTCAGTAGTGTGAATACTATAAGTAATAGATCCATCATTCCTACTTTATTATGAACTGCTATTTGAAAGTACCATTGACAAATTTGAATGAAAAAGAAAACATAAAGAAGTCATACATGAGTAACTGCAAGTAGGTACATTTAATCTCTTTTTTCTAGGTTGATGATGATGTATTGTAAATAGCTGTAAAATTTGATTGTTACAGAATGATAGAAAATGAGAACAAATCGTCCTTATTTTCACGAAGTGACGGTAGTGAGGAAAATCGTGACGCAAAGTGAATGCAATTTTTTTCACTACCGTTACTTTGTGAAAACAGCGACGAAATAATTATTTAATGATTCATTTTGAATATTTGAATACCGGTAGTCATAAATTGAATATGCAGGAATCATTTGTTTGTATTTGTTGTTATATTTAAAATTTAATTCTAATTTCTGGCATTTTTTTAAAATGTCTTTTTGCTTTAAACTGTACTAGATAATACTGAATGATTAAATCCCTCTTTCAAATTGCATGTACTGGATTAATGAACCCCCTATCAGTGACCACAATGGACTAGTCCACTCTCTGGGGTTTTGTGTGTGCAAATGCAGAGAAATACATATTGTGTGTCCAAGAGATTTGTGTGTGTGTTTTTCAGACTAGTCTGTGTGTCTTGAGAGGGGTGACCCCTTCCCAAGCCCTTCAATCCATTCAAGTGCCCACAACAAACTTTTAGTAGTCTACCTCGGCCGTAGTACCAGCCTCTATTAGAAAGTGTGACAGTATTATTTTTCACATACTTATAATTATGGTCCAGTGGTCCAGACACAAGTGAAAGTTCCTTTCAGATGAAAACATTTCATATCATGCAAAGTAGCATGTACCTACTAAAACTCAATTCTATCATTTTTAATACTTTGAAATGTTTTATTTCATCTTAAATCACTAAATATGTTCTTTTATATTTTTGAACATTGAAGTACATACAAATTTACAAGGCCAGAAATGTTTCATGTAGCTTTTGTAAGAAGCTTCTACAAATTTTGCACAAGTGGTCTAGAGTCGCAAAGGTATCAGGTTTTGTAGTATGTCAATGTAGGCCTAAAATGTAGGGTTTGTGAGTGCTGAGTCTCCCTGTGGATATATTCAAAGGGCTTCGGACCAGCTTATTAGGGTTCTAATCCCAGCAGAGGCACAAATGGCCACCCCTTTACCCCCCCCCCCCCCCCCCCCCCCCCCCCCCCCCGGTAAAAACAAATCCTGGAATAAATGAAGTGCCATCCTTTCAATTGTATGTCACAACCCGTCTATGGCCAGAGTACTATAAGGGCTTGTAAACATGCAGTTGAGCATGTTCATATGGCAATGTATAATACGACAAAAAGGTACCAATATGCCCGATGGTTAGGAAATGATAAGAATAGGCCAGAAGAGTCTTGACGTCTGAGACTATTATGTAAGCACTCCACTGCACTGTGTAAATCAAGCCAACGGAGCGTGTATGTGTATACCCATGGAAGCCAAACACTGTGCTGCGAGCACCACAACCCTACACAACTCATTCACTGTTCAGGTTTGACGGAGTTCAGCGCTCGCCCACCACTCTCTCGCATTCTCAAAGTCTATGCTCCACGGAGGACAAGCAGTGCTCAGTCAGACGCCAGACAAGGCACAAGTAGCAATCATCTCACTGTTTCTCTTGCTATCCTCCTTACTTCATGCGGTAGTACTATTAGGAGAACTAAGTTACCCAGCGGTGGCCAATTGACACCTTGAACAGTGTGGCAGTTTAGACCTCAATCCTCGGTGAAAGAACAATGTGCAAGGAAACTCACACACGGATCAATCGGAATATAATATATATGTTTTATTTCTGTGAAGACATCAACCTGGGATTCGTGAAAGATTTTTTTAGCTGTTCCTAAGTTGGGATATTATATTTCGTGTTCCATCTTATCTGTGTGCCTTTGGATTATTGCTGATGATGATGCATTTGTTTTTATTTCATGAGAACAAGGTGACTAATTGATTTGCAGCTTTTAATCTTTTTCAATCATGAATAAATTGTACCTATTAAATCAAACCATTGTTTCATTGTTTGACTTATTCAATACCTTTCTAAATGCTGAATTGTATATGTTCTATCCAATTTTCGACACAGAGGCAGATGATGGATCATTTATAATTCTGATTGTTCAATTGAAATTTTATTTATCTAATATGAATTTCAGTGTTCATTTCCCTTTGTCATTTAAACTATTGTGTGCATATTTTTAAAAAAATGTTTGGCCATTTCACTCATACTTGTTATTTCTCTTTTTTATTTTGTTTTCAACTATTTGTAGGAGACTAAAGATCCTGAATAAATGTGCCAGCATGAAAATAGAAGCGCCAATACACAGATCTGTAAGTATATATTTTCAATTATTATGTAGACGTGGCAAGCCCTAAAATTTAATTTTATACAACAAAATCATGAAGTGTATAAAATCTGCCTATTGTGTTCTGCACCATCATAAACCAGTCACTGAAAGAAATCCTTAAATGTTGAACACTGTGAAGTGCAATTTAGAAAATGACATTTTCTGTTGAACCTTGCAAACTGGAATTTCAGAATCCTTAAATGTTGAACATTGTGAAATGCAATTTAGAAAATTGCATTTTCTGTTGAACCTTGAAAGCGGTAATTTCAGAAAATGACCTTTTCTGCTAAAAAATGTAATTTATAGAATGACATATGCTCTTCATTGATTTCTGACGTGTGCACGTATTCTCATCGATTATGATATTGTCTAATTGTGTGATATTCCAGGCTTTTTTCCAGCCAATATATTGTTCAGTGAATGCATCACTTTTTCACGTGTGGAAGTTGTGTCATGATACTAACAGCTGCAAACACAGATTCCAAACTTCTGACTGTAAATTATGATATAAAAATTCATGACCTTGCGCCTGTAAAGCTTCTGGCTTGCTGTCTGCCATTGACATTTTTTTGAGATATGAAAACAAAAACTGCATACTAGCAGAGATTCATGTATTTATTTTGGATATTTCCCCAGCTCACTTTGCTGTCATTTTAAAAAAAACCTGAGGCAGCTAAATATTTGTATGGTTGCATCAGCATATAGGAATGCATTTAAATGCACTTTCTGGTATGAATACTTTCTATCAAAGTATCCGGCTGTGTTTGCTATTTGCTTAAACCTATACTGTGCTGTGATTATAATCCTGTCGCTACTACACTCCCAAAACTCGCCTTTTATATAGAATGATGGATATGCATGATTAAGACAAACAATACTCTTTGGCATCCTGCGGTCCTGGCGTTTTGACTGGACAGGAAGAGGACCTTAAAGGGAACGGGGGTCAGAATTGTTTTTCTTTAATAATCCTAGCGGCCAGAAGTCAGGTGACCCCCCACCTGCCCGGAGTCAATGAAAACGAGGTTTTGTCTCGGTTTTCATTCTCGCCGGTGCGTGAAAAATCATCCCAAAGGTCCAATTTGCAGCTCTTTTGTAACACCTCTCTTGCGGTATTCCTACAATTTTATTTGAACTATTTTCAGAATTACAATCATGCCGATCAAAATCAGAGGAAGAAGAAAACAATTTTTGTTGTCTTCCCGCTGTTGTGGCATACCGTTCGTTTTGAATTCCCCATGGTCATACAGGCAGTCAGGCAATGGGTTGCTGTACTTTGAGCCGACTCTAGTGTTATGGTTGTATTTCTGTAATTACTTAGTTTTCTATCCAGGAACGTGGATTATGTTTGTATTATCTAGCTTGATAACGGATGAATCGGGCCTACTTGAATTTCAATATTAGTGCAGGCCTGCGTCTTCGGACTTGTAGTTCTTGCTTCATGGAACAATATGATTGTATTGATATTTGGCTTCCTTTTCAATAGGCTGGCTCTTCTCCAAAACTTTGTTATAAAAAGATTATAACATTTGTCAGTTATCTTATCTAGAAAATTAGCTGTGGGAAACGAGTAGTCCATGGACTCTCTCTTGTCAATACATGTTTAGCTTTTTTTCAAAGAACTCTCGTTCAAAGATTTTGAGCAGCTATTTATCATACTTTGGAATTTCTCTGGTCTCTTTTTATCGCTCAACAACCGTGAAAGTTTATACTGGGAAGTGAGTTAAGCAGGAGGTAAAGAAAACCCAAAGGTATTTTTAAAGCATCCTATTTTATCGGCTCGTTCAGCTGCTAGTTATCGTAAAGGGCATCGTTGAACTTAAAGGTAAATGTTTATGAATGTTCAACTGCCCCAATGTTCCAACTTTGAATGAAAATAAAGGCAAAGTAAATGCCCACTCCCTCCCTGTATAAGATTCCAATGTTTGTGCCGGCCTTTCTGAAGACATTGTATGATTTCCATATTCATTATCATGGTCACTATAGTTTGAAAACAGCGGCAAGAATATAAATGAAGCCATATAATAGTACTTTCAAAGAAATGTTTATCAATATCTATTCTTACTCTTCAGAGTAGTAGTGCATTGCATTTATTTTTTGCTTTAAAAAAAAGAAAAGGAAATCAAGGAAATAAAATGACTTCTGAGTAAAATCTTCTAAGTTCTACGAGAGTAATACCCTGTTTACTTCTCGGATAAAAGTGCAATGAGTCGAATGCCAAGGGGTCACCCGGTATACAACTTTAAATGCTCAAATGGAATAAGGGTTTCTCTTTCTCTCTCTTTCTCTCTGTCTCTCTGTCTCTCTCTCTCTCTCTGACTGAGTATTTGCTTGTAACAGAACTCTGTATTTGAAGTCGTGACAACGGTCACAGCCTGATTCAATAAACTTTTCTCTCTCTCTTTCTTTCTTGAACTTTGACAAGAGTGAATGCAATCTAGATATCTAGTGGTTGTAAAACATGGGATGTCTCGTGGGGGTGAGTGGGTAAGGCGGGTTAATTAGGTCTATCCCTTGTCGTCTTCCAGGTATTACAGATCAGCGACATTGGTTAAATGTTTAGTATGTTGATTGGAGGCACACATTCAAAGCGGAGTAATCAACATACAACATTGGAATGTGTTTGTCTTCTCAGAACACGGTCATAGAGAGTCTTTTCAGGTAGCTGTTACAATGACCCCTCATGCAAATCCAATCAAATCCAATCAAATGCAAGGATTTCAGTAGCTTACATGTACATGAAGTATTGTATATTGTTAATGAAACAGGGCCCCAAGACTTCAAAAAGGTTTAAAGGCTGGCTTTACTAGTTCGGCCAGAAGGGATTAGACCACACAGCGAGGTCACTGACAGGTGGCTATCTCATTAACTCAGCTCTCAATTAACATAAGAAAAAGAGGATCATGGGGGACCAACAGGCACCGATTGGGGAAGTTTTCTATATAGAGGGAGCAAGTAGCGACAAGTAGTACAGTGTGGCTCTAAGATAATATGAGAGTTTGTGCATGATGTAAACTTTAATGCTCCATGGTAATCAACTCAGCAAGTGTACTTTTTGCTGGGGCCAGTGGAGAGCAATGAAGAGCTCATATTTCGGTAGAAAAGTTTGTGACCCTACCCCATGCCAGGCTGCGTCTCTTCAGAACCATAAGGGTTTCCCCCACCTCGCATGAACCTGGGTAGCTTCATCAGACACGGCCTACGTGCAAGCTTTTCTGTTTGGAAAGTAGAGAAGAAGATGAGAAGTCTCAAAGTCACTTTATCAAATAATTATTATATCCATCCCCTGCATTCTCACACCAGCCAAGAAAATACAAATTTGATCTGTGCACTTTTCTTCACTGTCTTCACAAATCAGTAAGGTTTTTCAAAATTGTAAATCTCTAACCAAATGATTTAAGATATTATGTCAAATGTAAATCATCACCTACAAACCTTTGGCCCTAGATCAGTGAAGATTGATATTCTCGAAAGAAAGTACCCAGTAAGCCAATTTCTTCATCAAGAAAGGTACTGTACATTGCAGGTTTTGATTACCTGGTATTATACATATAGCACTAAAAAGTAAAAACTTATTCACTTCAATTCATCTCTGAGTTGGAGACATTTTGTTTGTTTTAGTTAAGAAAAGTTGTTGAAACAGTCAAAGTATATGAACATTGGACATTTTGTTTGATGCAGAAAGGGGATGGTCAAATGCTAAATTGCAGAAATTGCTACTTGTGTTCAACTGCCATGTATTGTTTGCAATGAGAAAAGTTTTCTATATTTTCCCCGTCTCGGTTGATCAAAGGGGGCTCCGGTCGAAGCGGCCTACTTCAGTCCCTCCGCGGCTTGGGCCATATGGTTGGGTCACCAGGGGGTATAGGGTTATAGGAACCATGGGGTTGTGGGTAGAGGGGTAAGCCGCTAATAAGCCATGTCTGTGTTGAGATCAGCAATGGAGATTGCAGTGCAGTTTGGTATGGGCATGGACCTACTACCATGGTATGGGTTGTAGGGTTTGTTGGTACCCCCCCCCCCCCCCCCCCCCCCCCTCCTAATAAATCATGCAGTCATCAGTTCATTATCTAGGATTTTTTTTAAACTTTTGGCTGTGATAGATTTTCCACAATTAATCAAATTTTTATATTTTTAAACGATTGCCTTGGGATTACAAATATATTTTAGTCTATACCCATAACATTTTGTTTTTCTGTGTAATCTGTAAACAAAAACAAAAACAAAAACAAATATTGATTGGTGTTTGCTCTTTACGTTTTACAACCATTTTTAAGTCTATCATGCAATTCTGTTGCTTTCTAAAGAGCAATGTCCTATCAAAGGCCTGACCAGTATTCTTTTTTGTAAAATGTACAGGTAATATTCTTAGTTTAAAATACTTCTGATGATTAAGTCATGTAATCTTTTAGTTCACCTGAAGTTACTCTCGAAAAGTCTTCATGTTCAAATACTGGTACATGGAAGTACCTGAGGTGACTGACCTTAATCACTTTGATATTCAAATAGAAATTGACACATGTGTTAAAAACTGGGCTGTTGTTTAAGCCCTGCAGCTTAAATACTTGTAAAGCTGTAGAAGAACACTGAATCGGTTTAGATCGCTCCAATCATGTTAAACAGGGTTTGATTAACCCATCCTGTCTCTTCCGCGTCTATCATTGTTCCTACATCATCCACTCCGCTGCTATCCTAACCTTGCTTTTGAATCGTATTCCATGGGCATTATACCTTCCTTGAAGAAGACGAATGATCAATCAACGCGAAACGGCATCTGATCCTTGTCCAAGAAGCGGGATACCCTCGAGCTGTGTCGCTGATAAGGATCTAGGCCAAACTTTACCAAGACTAAGATAACTTAACGACAAGTTCATCATTGAAATACAAGCGTAATCGCAAGAATTACAAGAAATGATTGATTGGATATCGTTAAATGGAAAACGCTGCAAAGCCAACTAATATCCAGGTCAAAATTTTGAGGGTTTT